TGGCAGGGTTTCCTCCCTCGCTGTCGTGGTTTCTGGCCTCTGTAGGTGCCAGCTGCTTTCTCCTCCATCCGCTCCCTGCTGCTGCTGATCATCATCTGCAGAACAAAAATTTCCTTAGAGCAAAGCACAACTTGCAGGGAATTAGGAAAGGAAAGCACCTGAAAGAGAAGAGAGCAGCAGATAAAGCGCAAACCCAGGTTTGCTAATCTCGAAACAGGTATGTGAGAGCAGCTTTGTGGATGCAGCAGAGGGAAGCACCAAGGGCTTGCAGGGATGCTGAGGGAGGCTGAGACAGCGCTGCAGCGTGGGCTGTGGAACCTGCAGCCGTGCTGTGGGGCAGCCACTGCAGTGTGGGACCAGGGAACCCCCGGCGGGGGCCCTGCAGCCGTGCCCTGCTCTGCAGGGAACACAGGCACAGCGAGCACCGCTGCCTCGTTCCTGCCTGCAAGGGAGGTGACCTTGAGGGGCAGCTCGATAGAGCCGGCCCCAAACCTCCCGTGCGGGTGTCCCAGGGATAAGGGTGACCGCGGCCCTTCCAGCCAGCCACAGGAATGTAAGCGTTGAACGTGCTGAGCGCCTGCACTGGGGCAGGAGGGGAGATGCTGTGGCTGGGAGATACAGGGACGAACGCTTTCATGTGGGAAGCGCGAGGAGAGGCGCGGGCAGAGGGTCTGCTCCCTGGGCAGAGAACAGAGCGCAGCCATTATCAGGCAGGGCTCTGCCTGCAGGAAGCGGCTTTTGACTCACAGGAAGCTGAATTCGGCTGGTATCAGCCCCTCGCGCGAAGGCCAGGGCAGCGCTTTATCTGTTGGTGAGCGCAGCAGATGGGGAAGCAGTCGGCGCTCCCTCCCATCCCGCTGCTGCTCCCGTGCTCCCTGCCCGGTGGCCTGCTCCGTGCACCCCGCTCCGAAAAGGGAGGCTTCCCTGCGGAGCAGCGAGGCGGGGGCAGCTTCCCCGGCCCCAGGGGAGCCGCCAGCCCCGCTGGAGGGGGCAGATTGCCCCGGCCAGCCCGTGCAGGGCAGAGCCTGGAGCCTCCAGGCTGCTGAGCCCAACCGGGCAGGTACCGGATGCTCCTGTAGAGGAGCCGGGACCACGCTGCCTCCTGGGCTCGCCGCTCAGCTTAAACCCTCCCATCTGCTCCCAGATCAGGGTCCGAGGCGGGGCCGGGCTCGCAGGGACGGGAGCGCTTCGCAGGGAGGCCGCTGCTCATCCCTGGCCTCCCCGCGGGGCTGACCCCGGCCGGAGTCCGGTTTCGCGCGGGGCGGTGGCGGCCCGCAGGGGCTCGGGGTGGAGGTCACCGCGGAGGGGATCGGGTGGCAGCTGCCGGCCTGAGCGCCGCTGTCCCGCACGGAGCCCGAGCGCTGCTCGGTGCCGCGGTCCGGCCGCGGGGCCCCGTGATGGCAGCTTCCACACGCACAGCGGGCAGCGAGGGAGGGCTGCGGGGGCTGGAGCGCAGGGAGCCGGGCTGCAGGAGGCCGCCGTGGGTGTGTGAGGATGCTGCTGCCGGGCTCCGAGGCAGGGCAGGTCCATGATGGGGACACAGCGGGGCTGCCACGCGGGGTACGGGGAGGGGCAGGGGCTGCGCTGCCCCCGGCGCTGCTCGCATCAGGGTCTGAGATGCTGCGCCCCGGGTGCCCGCGGCCCGGAGGTGCCCGCAGCCAGGCCCGGGCTGGCCGGGGCTTGCCCACAGCCCGGGGCCCCGCCGAGGGGCCCCTGCCCGCGGCCGGTCCGTGCCGGGCGGGGCCCTGCGGGGGCACCGGGGCGGGCGTGAGGCGGAGCCAGCGGCGGGCCCGGCCCGGCCCGGGGGAGCGGATTACCGCCGGCAGCGCGGCCCCGCCGGTTGCCATGGTTACCCCGCTACCTGCCGGCGGGCCTCAGCCCGGCCCGGCCCGGGCCGCCCGCCCTCCCCTCCCCTCCCGCCGCCGCGCAGATGTCCCGGGCCCGGGACCCACGGCCCCTCCCGCCGAGCCCCCATCCCGAGCGGGAGGGCGAAGGGCCCGGCCCCGGGCCAGCGGGGGATGGAGCGGGGAGGGCGGGAAGGGGTCCCCGCAGCGGGGCCCTGGCGTGCCCGCGGCGGCGGGAGGGAGCGCAGGGCAGGGCCGGGCCGGGAACAAAGGTGCCGGGGCCGGGCCCGGCGGGGAGCGCTGCCTGAAACGGCCCTCGCCTCCCCGCGCTCCTCCGGCAGCCACCTCGGGGCATCGCTCCCGGGGATGGACGGGGCCTGGCGGGCGCGGAGGGGATGCAGGGGAGATGCGGGTGCAGAGGCCCGAGGGGTGGCTGCCGGGAGCTGCCGCCGCGGTCAGGGGAACGTGAGGAGGAGGCGAGCGAAGAGACGTGGGCCTGGAGGAGATGGGGAAAACAAAGGAGAGTGGGAAGGGAAAAGACCCGATGGATAACCTGGGGGAGAGGAAGGGCGGGAAGGTGGGCAGGAGGTGGGAGAAAGGGGGTGAGGTACATCCATCCCTGTGGGATGGGGCATGCAGCGGTGGAAAAGGAGAGACTGGGAAGGGGGAGAGACAGACTAATGCTGGGCAAATGTCGGGAGAGGGAGGATGCCTGTAAGGTGGCAAAGGGAATTCCTCCCCTCGGCACCTGAAATGCTGCCTGGTTCCAAGCGCTTGTGTCGAAGCTGAGCTTCGCTCCTGAAATCTTCTACTCATTTTGGGGGCAGGTGACTTCCAATAGAGCCCCAACACCAGGAGGAGGTAAAAGCATCCCTTATTCCCATCCTTCCCAACTGAATTTTTATTGCTTTTTAAACCTAAGGGGGTTTTGAGCCGCTCTGAGATACTGTGGGCTCTGACTCATGCCTTGAATACTCATGAGCAATGCTGGGTGGGGAAGGAGTAACCAGGGGGGCGTGGGCCCCTCTCAGAGCTCGTGTGTAGCGCCTGTGTCCCCTTGCATCCTAGGTCAACCCTGGGTTATATCGGCAGATAAACCTTGTAATCCTGGAGGCAGTGACTTGATCCAGCCGCTTGTATCCCACTTGCATCTCACCTGCTTCCCAGAGCTAAATAATCATCGCAGAGAGAGAAGTCACAAGGCTGAGGGGGGATGGAGAGACACGAGGAGGCAGGGGAGGGATGTCGAGGAGGCAGCTCCGGCATCCGGCCAGGACGGAGAGGCAGGCTGTATGAAGGATGAGCAGAGCGGCTCTGGTGATGCCCAAACCTTAACTGCATTCATTATGAAAGCGAGGAGGAAGCAGGGAACCACCGGTGGCGCAGGGAGGAGGGTGTTAGCTGCCTGGGATGGCCTTGGAAATAGGGGTTTGTGTATGGGGTTGGGAACAACCTTAATTTTGAGGGCTCTGTTTGTTGCGTCTGACTGTGCTTTTCTCCCGCTGCATTCATTTTCCTTTGTCCTGTTTCTGTAATTATCCTCATTTCAACCCTGCTCTGAGGATTATTGGTCAGTGGGAAGCCTCCTAATGCCCGCTCCTCCCTGGCAGGGGGATACCCGTGCCCTCGATTGAAGTGAAATTCCCCGAACGGTGACAGAAGGAATTAGGTCTGTATTCCTCACAGACACTCCCGCGGGCCAAGTTTCCCGACCCCCACCACGGCCGAGCTGCCACCCTGCCCCTTGTGTTCGCTCTCTGCATTCTCTTTGTTACAGCCACCTTCATGCAGGGCTCGGGACTCCCCCGGGAAGGCTGAGGTGGTTTGTGCTGGACCAACCCAGCTCACTGCAGTCTGTGCCCAGCACAGTGTCTGTTCCCAAATTGGGCTGAGGAGCCAGCTTTAATAGGCAGCACTTTGCAGGAAGATGCTGGGTAGTCTCTAGCAGAAGGTTGCCCCTCTAAATGAGCAGCATTTGTTCAGCATATAGACCATATAAAATACCCAGAGCCCAACCACCAGTAACAACAAAAATCAAGGTTAGGACGCTGGGTGTTCCCTTTGCATGCAGACCTCTGCCAGGCTCTGCCTGCACTCCTGCTGTGTGAATATACATGAAAAAGAGTTTGCAGGTCATGTAGACGTGCAGGTTGCTGCTCAGCAGCCTGGGGTGCACCAGCTGGATGGCATCGATGCATGCCTCAGGAAGGCAGGCCTCAAAGGGACGTGGTCTGGGTATATATCTGTATGGATATGTATATATAATACATAGGGTTTGGTATGCATACAGCTCTCTGAGCAACAATGGCATCAATTCAAGGAGCGAGCTGAGTGACCTCCCGAAGCCCGGCCCTTCCTCAGTGCCTGCTGCCTCCCAGTGCCCTGCCCGCGCCGGTGCTTTGTGCCGGGCACCGGTAGCAGCTGCGGGTACCAGCGGCTGCCTCCCCTTCCCCCGGCACGCCCTGCCAGCGGGAGCTGACACCGGCGGTGCCAGTCGGCTCGGAGGAGCACTGCTCCCCGCACTTCCCACTCCCATCAGTCTGTCACCACTGCCGTGTGGCAGAATTACTGCCTCCTGCTCTCCAGCACATCCGAACACACAAAGAGCTGTGCTGCTGCTGCCAGCGCTCAGCTGCTCTGCGTATGCGAGAGAGGGAGGGTGCCTTGGAAAGGTCAGTGCGGGGAAGGAGGGAGATGCTGTCTCCTTCCTTTAGGGGCCGTATCCTGGCATCACAGTGAAACCTTGTCCTGCCAGCAGCTGATCTGTATCTGCAGGGTCTGCAGCCCAATGTCACAGGGCTTCCTAGGGTGGTTTAGTGCCATGTGCAGATCCAAAGAGCTTCCCTGCCTGTTCCCTGCTTAGCAGAATCACCCTACATTATGAAAATTCAATTTCTGGCTCCACTCTGGACTCTTCCCTTGTTTTTGTTCCTGGCCCAATTTCACTGGCAGCTTTAGCAGCACAGCAGCAGCTTCCACTGCCCTGGCTACAGCAGGATCCTCCCTGGAGCCCTGTTTAATTCATCCCCCACATCCCCTGTGCCCAAGGCAGCAGCACCGCGCCGCTGCCCCCTCCGACCGCGTTAGCCCCGGGCCCATCTCGTCACCCCTGTCACCCACTGCTGACACTAACTCAACTTGCCTGCACTGTTGTAGGGGGCAGATGGACTGACGGAGCCCGAGGGCATCTCTCTGAAGCGCGTGGCCGTGGTGGAAGATTTCTTTGACATCATCTACTCGATGCATGTGGAGAGCTCGTCGGAGCCGGGCAAAGCACCCAAACATGCCGGGCAGAAGAAAACCTACCGAGCGGTGAGAGTCCTGCCCCGGGAACCAGGGGATGGGGACCACAGGGGGAGGTACCAGCAGAGCTGCTGGTGGGAGGCAGAGGTGAAGGGCAGTCCTGATGGACGCCTGTGCAGGGAGGCAGGGGAATCGGTTAAAGGCAGAGCAGCAGGGCTGGGGAGCTGGGAGACCCACCTGCAGCAGCTGCACAGCAGTGCGGCGGCTTGGAGAGGGGAAAGACCAAGTGAATTGTACAAAGACAACTGTATGTGTCTGAGGGAAAAGAGAAACGTTTGGTATCACTGATGGCCGAGGGGATGTTTGCCCAGTCCCCTGCATGCTCTGCTCTGTGCCATCTGCCTCCCTGTCTCCCTTGGCCAGAGGGAGATGTGTCGCGTGGGCCTTGAAGGGCAGGAGCAGGCAGGAAAGGGCAGGAGCAGGCAGCAAGGGGGGCTGGGGCCGGCTGGAGCCCGCCCCTCTCCCTCAGCCGGTGGATGCTCTCGCCAGCCCATCCTGGGTTTCCTCCGTTACAAAATGGAGGCAGGCACCGAGCTCAGCCTCATCAGGTGCTCCACGGATGCTGAGAGCCAGCTCTATCCATCCTGAAACCTCTCTAGTTAGGTCAGGAATAATTTAGCTTGAAGTGTGCTTCTCCAGGGAGCTTGCTGTTTCTCCTGACTCTGCACAGCCCTTCCATGCAAACATTTGGGCTCTCCTTTTACATGAAGAGCTGAATTTACTGTCCAAACCCGAGCTACTCCCTTGCATCCCGCAGCCCTAAGGACCAGGTCGCTTAGAGACAGAAGTGGCTGGCTGGCAGCTCGTGTCTCTGGTGTATACATCATCCTGGAGAGGTCTGTGCGGGCTGCCCTGCTCCCTGTGATGATGCTGGAGATTATGCAGGGCTTGGTGTGCTGCTGGAGCCGGCTCAGGGGTGGAGCCTGTCCTGCCCGCTTGTGTCCCTGTGTCCATCCACGGTCCATCCTCTGCTGTTGGTGCTGGCAGTGCTGGGGGAGCAGCACAGTGCCCTGCAGCCTCCCATGGGTGTTGGGAGCCCCCGGGGAGCCACATTCTGAACCCAGAGCTTGAGGCATCGCTTGTGCCTTGCATCCCAACCGCTGTCCCTGCAGCAGAGCAGGCCTGGGGTGCACTTTGACCCCCCCGGCCAGGGGCAAGTGACCCCTTTATAATGTGGGGAGATGCAGTCCCACCAGTGTGACCACAGTTCAAAGCCTTTCCGCTCGTTTCCCCAGCAGACCACGCCGAGCCTCTCCTAATTCCTTCAATTCAGGCCTCTGGAGGACTAATCTGTGCCCTGCACAGCCCCGGGGGAGCAGGCTGGATCCGTCTGTTTTCCCAGGCCTGCTCGCAGCAGCCAGGGAGCTTCACGCTCCACCCCTCCCGGCTCCCTCTTGAGCTGAGATCATCACATTAGCAGCGTGTATCCCCTCCTGACCTGGCAGGACGCTGCTGGCCCCGCTCATGCCCCGTCTCCCTGGAAGCGCCTTTGCAGCCGGGGCTGGAAGGTGAATGCTGCAGAGCACGCCCCGCGCCGCCGCTCCGGGCACAAAGGGCTGCTGCTGGCGGTCAGCTCGGGAGGCTGCCGGCTCCCCAGCGCTTCCCTCCCTCTCCTCTTCCCCACCGGTTCTGATGAGAGGCACTGGAGAGTTTGCCCTTGTCCGTGACCTCCGGAGGGAGGCAATCAGAAAGGGAGTTTGGATGGGAGATAACTCATCAAGGGAGCTGTCTGCTCTGCAGAGCATCAAATCAGCTGAGAAATAACAACTGGATCGCTAAAATTAGCTGAACATTTGCAGCAGAGACTATGGGCTTGCTGGAGCGAAGGAGGCAGGAAACTGGGCTCAGCCCCGCGGGCAGCACAGAGGGACAGGACCCTGCCTATGCCACGATGCCCCAGTAGCCACCATTGATTTTCAGGCCCTTAATTGCAGCGTTTCTGGGGGAGTCCCTCGTGCTTGTGCACTGATAAATATGGCACAGAGGCAAAGGCCCAGCTGGGCATCCGCTGGGTCACAGCAGAGCTCGGCGGTGCTGTAGCTAAATAGGAGGAGAATCCCATGAGGACCAGGCACTGCATCCTCCATTTGAGCGGCTGGGACAAGGTCCCTGCCTGAACTTTCCACCCATCTGGCATGAGCAGGCGAGTGAAAGCTCGGGCTCTGCTGCCGCTCAGTGGAGATGGATGTCTCTCCTCCCACCGCAGCGGCGGGGCGCCTTTGGCCATCCCCGAGCGAACCTTCTGCGGTCCTTCAGGAACACGGGCTTTATTCCAAGGCCAAGCATCGCCCTTTCCTGTGGGGCAGAAAAAATCGCGGAATTGGGGTATTTTGGGTCGCTGTTAACAAAGGCGGGCGGGAGGACGGAGCCCACGGCCCGGGGAGGGGTCGGCGCGGCCCGGGCTGCCCTCCTGGCCCTGTCACCAGCGAGGTGTCTGGTTGCAGCCGCGCTTCCCGTCCCGAGCCCCGCTTCTGCCGTGCTCCAGCCCCGAGGAGCGGCACGAACAATTGAATTTCTGTCTGCTCTATGACCCCACTTGTAAGGGCTGTGACCCCTGCTGGGGTCGCGGCCCCTGCCTGGGGAACCGCCGTGCTGGGACAAGTCACTTAGACCAAACAGGATGGGTGATTAACCGGAGGAACCAGCCCGAAGTAAGAGGTGGGCTCCGCACCTCTTAATGCTTCCAATTGAGACCAGATGTCTTCCTGGAAGATGTTTTAGGCAAGCCACAGGCTGCACAACCTGGGTGAAGTGCCCCAGCTCGTGCTGCACAGGAGGTCGAGCTCCATGGTTTGATGGGGTCTTGTGGCCTTACAGAAACCCACGTTAAAACTGCCTCATTCCTGCTCCAAATAACCTGGTCTTGATCTTTACAAGTGTTACAGAATTGCTGTTGGCAGGGATTAATTGGAGCAGGAGGACTCTGTGATAGCCAGGTACCTTCGGTGGGTGCTAAGGTCTGGAGCTGGTGTTTAACTTCAAGCGTCCAAGTTTTAAATGTTTCTCCTTAGCTTTTCCTCATCTGTAAAATACGAATACCCCAGGAAGGTTCAGGAGACTTAACAGTGCTGTTTGTTTGCAAAAATGTTTTCAATTCCCTGGATAAACTGTGTCACACAAGTGCAAAGTGTTACCAGTAATTGATTGTCATTGTGGGAAAAAGTGACCTGCCCTTACTGAAGATTAATGGATTCTTCAGGTTACTGGTGTGCTGCAATTAACAATGCAAACAGAGCTGAGCCCTCCTTTTCTCAGCTGATTCTCACACATTTGAGGCTTTGCTCTTCACGGGCTCAGGGTGAATGGAAGGAGTTTCTGGGAGGGGTTCCCATGCTGGGAGTCCAAAGGTCTGTTTGTTTGTGTCAGCACCTCTTTGATACGCTGAGTACTTCCCAAATGTTCCTCCATCAGCAGCTGCTCTGGAGGGAGGGAGGGATTCAGGGATCCCAGGTTGCTGTGGGTTCTGGATGCCCTTGGGTGAGGCGGGAGGAGCCCGTGGTCACTGGTGCCCTCTGCCAGGCACAGTTCTCCCTCACAGAGCTGTCCCGTTGCCTTCCCAGATCGCAGAGACCTACGCGTTCCTGCCGAGAGAAGCCGTGACCAGGTTCCTGATGAGCTGCACCGAGTGCCAGAAGAGGATGCATTTCAACTCCAACGGCCTGGAGCCCAAAGGTAAAGGCGAATGAATTCTGCCAGCAGAGCTGACACAGCGTTTTGTACCGGTGCAGAAGCCCTGAGAGCTGTCAGGACACTGCCCCATCCGTGAGATACTGATGGTTTTCCTGACCTGGGTTATTTTTTCATGCATTTTTGTAGCCAAGCTGAAAGAATTGCTTAAACCTGTTTTCTGGAGAAAAAAAAAAACAGCCAAAACCATGACCTAAAGTTTTTCCTTTAAACTCTTGATTTTGTGCTCAAAGGGACTGAATGTATCTGAATAACTGAAGTTTCTGATAATTAATGCGCAGTAATTAATATATATGCATATCATGATCCCCTGTTTGATAAAGTGTTGGTAATCAAAGTTGCATTAAGCCTTTGTATCCCAGCAGTTAGCGTGGCCATTGCGGTGCTTGGCTCCTTATGGTGCTTTTGTAAATGGAACCGATCTGTAGCTATCACATAAATGGTGGGGGAGATGGGACCACGTTTTCTTCCGGAGTGGTTAAAGTTGATGTTTGCCTATTTTTCGCTGGATTACAAACTTGTTTTCCTGCTCAAGTGCAAACCAGCAAACTGCCCCAGGGAGTTTCACCCAAAATTGCTTCTTTATAAAACCCATGAGCAGGCTGCAGGGAGCCTGGTTCTACCCTGGTGAGGCCACCAGGCTCCCTTGGCAGCTCTCACCGAGCAGAGGAGCAGAACAAAGGGCCCAACAATAGAAAATTTCCCATCTGAAATACGAATTCCCAGCTGTTCGGTGCAGAGCAAGGGCTGCCCAGAGTTCTGGTTAAGTGGATTAACGTGTGCCAGCTCTGCAGAGCCGTGCAGGGAAGGCTCTGCGCTTGTTGTGTGGTTTAGAAACCCTCCCCAATAATGGTGTGTGACACTTATTAGCCCAAGCTCTGCTCCTGCAGCACTTCCCACCCTGCTGGCCAAGGGCCCGATCCCTCTTTCCAATTAGGTCAGGAGAAGTTTTGGCCTTTGGCCTTGCTGGGAGCAAATGTGACCTTTACACTGCTTGCGCCGCATCCATCACGGTGATGTTCCAAGTGCTGCGGCTGCAGCAGCCGGCTCAGGGCCTGGACGGACGGTGGGATGGGGCAGGGATGTCGCCTATTGGGTCAGTCAAACCAGGCCGCTTCACCAAGTGCCTGGCTCTAGCCAAGCTGCCAGCCCCAGAGCTCGGGATCCCTTTCCAGGAGGCAGCTGATGAAAAGGGTCATTGTTCCTTCAGGGGCTCCCTCCTGCCCACCCACCAGCCCCGTGTCCCCCTGTTCTTCCAAGGACATGGCACCATCCTGGCTCGGAGGCACCTCAGGGAGCACCAGGTGCTGGGTGTCCACCCCCCCGAGTGCTCGCAGGCATGGAAACAACGATCAGGGCTGAGATCTGTCCTGAGCAGATTCCTAAGTTATTTTAGTAAAGCTTTCCCCCTTAGCTGTTCCCTTAAAGATGTATCAAACAGGAAAACAAAAGATCCCCACCAGGAACAGAAGTGCCTTTCTGCCCTGAATAGTACCTAAATAGTGACTAAGTACCTGTGAAAATGCATAGAGCAGATTAGATAAGGTAACTTTTACTGGGGAAGAGTTTCTGGTTTCTCTAATGCATGTTCAGCAATTTATCAGGAGCAGATCACCTAAAAAACCAATGAGGTCATAGAAGAATTGCCTGGGTGTGAGCACCTGCACACACACACAGGCAAATAACTCAGCAAGATGAAAAACTTGGAGTCATTCCCATCTCTTCCTCCTTCTCTTGTCCATTGAGCAAATCCCAACGCCTTTCATTTGTGATCACCAAACTGCCTGAATAAAGGGATCGGACATCAAACCCTGCTGGGTACCCACATCATTCATAAAAGCAAATGGTCTTGCTCCTGGGAAACCTAGAACATCACTGGACTCCACTGGCATCTCTTTCCACTCTTACTAAATCAGGACTAACTCCAGTGGAGTTATACAAGCTTGGAATTAGGATTGAACCCCTTTTGCTTTAAACCATTCTGCCTGTTCCATCCGTGTGTCCAGCATGTGATCCAGCTAGCTTCATGAAAAATGAGCTCAAGGATTCCAGGAGCCCTCTCTTGTGACATGTGGGGTACGAGGACTGTTCCCGTGGAGTCCCCCAGGCCCTTTAAAACAAAGGTTTGCTTTCTTTTCCAGTTTCATAAAGAAGAAAGGTTTTGGTTTCTTAGGCTCAGCTCAGATCTGTTGCAGTTGCACAAATTCACAGTAAATTTGAGGCTGTTAATGGGATTAGTCCAGCTTTGCATCAGGACAGTTTCAGGCAGAATCTAAGCACCAAAACTCGTCGGCCTCACTTCCTCCCCGTGCGGGGATGCTGAGCCTCATTCCTTTTGGCAGTGATGAGCTATTACATGGGGGATGGCAGGAGAGCAGCGTATCATCCTGAGGGGTCTGCAAGGCTCACCTCACCCACACCTCCACTTCAAGGAAGGAGCAGCTTTGAGATGTTGCCCTTGGCAAGTGCTTTCCTAAACTCCTAAAGACTCAAATCTTGGCCCCAGCCAGCCCGGGGAGGTGGCAGATTTTGTTCCTGGGAGCGGTTCCTCTCTCACTGCAGACCCAGGCAGCCACAAGGCCCCCTTGCACTGGGGCTTCAGCATCTTTCCATCACAAAGTGACACCCGGGCACAGTAGAATGGGTTGTGTTGGGTAAATACAGAGATGGAGAAGTGCTCTTAGTTAATCTGTAGTTCAAAGTGTGACAGGAACCACTGACATACAGCCATGAGAAAAGAAAGGGGGGGGTTAGTTTACAAGCTTCCTAAAGCTTTGCCCCTTCCTATTTGGCCTGAGTAGCTCTGGCTGCCCTCCCCTGCGTCCTCAGGCAGGAATGCTTCAGATGCCCGGGATGAATCCGGTGAACCTGGGAAATAAGCATTTCCACACACCCAGTTAGTGTCTTGGTACAGAAGATCCGCAAAACCCAATGTGATGTTTGAGTCAGTTACAGGGAGGTTTTGGGTCAGGTCATTTCTTAACCAGACACCACAGAGCTGGTATTTCCGGAGGTGTGAGGTGCCCTCAGGCCTGCTGGCTTCCACTGGGACTTTGGGATATTCGGTGTTTCTGAGGAGCAGCCCCACTGTGTTTGGGTTGCTGGGTTTCCAGAGGGGCTGTAGAACACTCTGTGAAGGGGCTGCTGTGTCAGAGGTGCCTCTGGAACCAGTGACCCCAAAGACACAAGCCAGCCGAGGGGAGTCAGGAGCAGCAACGGAAACCTCCTGCCACTGGTTCACCTTCAGCTCCTGGAATCCCTTCTTCCCCATCAGCTGCGGACACCACACATCCCTTTGGAGTGTTCTGCAAGGCTGGATTAATTCCCTGCACTTGCAACCACCTGCACTGAGGGCAAAGAAATCTCCCCTCTAGCCAGCAGCCATCCCTGCAGGAACCAGTGCTCCTCTTGACCAGCCCCGTGGCACGAGGCTGTGACTTCAGCATTAGCACAGAGAACTCCAGCAGCCTTCGTGTCCTGGGGGGAGCTCAGCCCCCACAGTGCTGATGGCAGAGCTGGCAAAGCCTGGAGAGCTCAGGAACGTCACTGAGGAAGTGCTTTGTGGGGACTGGGCTGCAGGAGCGGTCTGAATCCAGAGATCTCCGGAGCTCAGGCTCAGGCAGCCTGAGGAATCAACAGGAACAATTTAAATTAAAGATCTTTAAAATGAAGTTTGTGTTTTAATGAGGGTGTTAAAAATAATCTTCATCACCACACAGAGATATTTAATAAGTTGCCTTAATGTTAACACCTACCTGAGGGAATCCCAGCAAAATTGGCCAGACTCCGCAATGCTAAAGCAAGCTGCAAATCTATTCCTGCTCATCAGCCTCTGCATCAGTCCCCTTTGCCTGGAAGGGCTTCTGAGGCATCGGTTTCTTCCTCTGCTGTGTCCCAGGCTGGGAGCATGGCACGTTCTGGATGGGGTGCATCTCCTCTGCAGGTGACAGCAACGCTTTGAGCTTTCCCTTGTAAACCAACGTGTTCTGTAATGATGTTCTTGGTGGGGTTGTGTTCTTAGAGGAGCCTCAGCTCAGCGGGCACCCGCTCTCACTAAGGACTTTAAGTGCTCTAAATCCATATGTTTGATGGTAATGAGAACACGTCGTAGGTTTGTGCTTCCATAGCCCCATAGCTAAAGTTTTCCCTTTGTTCTTCAGAGAGTGAACCACCCTCCTCTTTGGTGTCTGGGATCATTGACTACAACATGCCCCTCACCTCCACTTACCTGAAGCAAATGAAGCTGCGGGTGATGAATTCCCAGGAGCAGGTGAGTTGTGCTCTGGGTACAGGGCGGCTGTCACCGTGCTGGGGGTGGAGGGAGTGACCGGTGCTCAGCATGTTGGGTTCTGGAGGATGCTCTGGGGCTCCCTTTTGGTGTGGGGAGGTGGGGAGGGCAGGTGTGCCTCTGAGAAAGAGACAGCACCGCTTCATTGTGCCAGAGAGGAGCAGAGGGGTTGATGCAGTTACTGCTCGTCCTTCAGCTGTACGGCTCTAAGGAATTGTCTTCAAAGTAAATATGGCAAATAGGAACTTCTTTCCCTCCTCTGAGTTGCCTGGGGGCTTGGGCAGCTGCGGTCTGAAACCCAGACCTTGCTTTGGCTGCTCCGGCGCTCTCCCAGGTGGATCAGCAACTTGAGGAAGTTCAACCCCAGCCACCCCGCTCTGGTGTCAGAGTGGGAGAAGGCTCCGTTGTCTGAGGCCGGTGTTAAGCCACTGGATTTGATCTGGGAACGGATGGGGCAGACTGCCACAGGATTGCACCCAGGCTGTGCAGTGCTCTGCAGTTGTGCAGCTGCAGGATTAGCTACGGGAACCTCTTTGCACCATGGAAACAGGCTATAAAAAGACAAGTCTGTTTTACTTGCTCCCCACAATCTGCACTGGAAGCCAGTGCTGGATTTTTGTTCCTGCACACTGAAACTTGACCCTGATCTCACACATTGCTACCAGTTGCAAGAAGTGAAAGAGTTTGCATTGTGCCGTGGTAGAAAACATTACTAATGTTTTATGCTAACATTAATATGCTAAGGCTGTGCCCGATGGGTACTTTTATCTAGAGGCACCCTCAAAGGATGTTGGTTAGAGCATCCACTGCCGCGGTGTAACGTGCCAGATGTGGGTCGGTGGCAGGAGCTGGACAGAATCGAGCTCCTCCATCGCTTCCACAGTGAAACCTTCCTGCTGGAGGGCAGAATGGCACCTGATGGGCAGCACTGGTGTGTTGTGGAGCTCATGTTGGACACGAGTGGGCTCAAGGTTTCATTTGCAATAGGTTCTCTTACAGCTTTTGAAAGGGAAAGGCTGCGACGTGCTGGGGTTTGTGCTGGGGCTGGGTTGGGTGGTAGAACTACGGACAGCTCCAGGGGCTGAGCTGGGCTGAAAAGGATAAGGGGTAGAAAAGTGCAGTTTGATCTGGTTTCCACCATAACCCCCCGAGAGGCTGCAGGCTTTAGTAATGACCCTGGAGTTTGGAAGCTGCCCGCTTGGGGATGCTGGTTTGGAGAACTTCGGTTGGTAATTTGGAGCTTTGAGTCTTAACCCCGAGTTTTGGTTCAGCAGTTTGACGCTGGGTAGATAAATGGAGCATCCTGCTAACACACATACTCCTGGAGCTTGCTGAGACCAGGGCAGAAGCATATGTCATATGGGAACAGAAAAAGGACCAGCTGAGGCAACCAGCAGTTGTTGGTTTAGATCATAAATCAAACTCTTGATGGTACTGCCGGCCTCCGCAGTGTTTCTTTGCCTGAGCTCTCACTGGTGCTCTGTGGGGCAGCTTCCTCAGCTTTTCAAGCTGTACCAGCCGAGGGAAAACCGTGTGAAAGAAGTAAAATTTGCTTCTCAGTGTGTTCCTGAAACTGGTTCCTGAGAGCAGAATAACCAAAGATGAGTCTTACTGCTCCCACTGCTGAGGCATTAAAGCTTTCCCTCAGCCCAGGAGGTACCCACAGGCTGGGGAGGATGCAGGAGGAGAGGTTTGGAGCTTTTCAGGTTTGCACCACCCAAATACACACTCGTAGATCAATGCTTCCAAACTGCTGTTGGTTGCCCTCCCGCTCAGCCTTGCTGCCATGTCCCCTCGACTGCCTTCCACTCACTTTGGTGATGGTAATAGAAACAAAGCAAGCTACAGACTCGTGCTCAACTTGGCTTTTGCCAAAAGCAAGGATTCGTGCGTGGCAGCAGCAGGAGGGGTAACAATGAATGAATTCATGCCAAAGCGGCCTTTTAACTTCATTATTCAGGGAAAAAGCCATGTGCATGTAACTGCAACATATTAGTGCTGCTCAGCACATTAGTACCAGGGCAGCAGCATCTCCAGAAGGAAGCACAGCCGAAAGAACCTTAGAGAAAGCATTTATCTCTGCTCAGGGACAAAAAGCAGTTGGAAGAGGAGCTCTTTACATGGCTGATCCCAGAATGAAGCGTTCCTGCAGAATATATTGCAATATAATTCTTGGAGTTGGTACCTTTATTCTGGCATGATGGAAACCAGCTGTGACCCATGTTGCTTAAATCGGGTTCACTACAATGTGCAGGAGCTTCTGGGGTGTCAGTTGTCCTTCACTCCCATTTGACACCAACTCTCACCTGTGGGAGAAAAAGCAGGGCCAGACCCTTTCCACAGAGCACTGGAACAGGCACATTTCAGGGTATCCTCCTCTGAGGCATGGAAGCATCTTGGAACTTCCAACCTTCCCAATCTAGCAAGAAAGGATGGAAGATACTTGATATTTGTCTGTAATGATCCTTCCTCCTCATTTTCAAACACTATTACCATTTGTGATTGGTGATTTGAGTTTATTGCAGTCATTTTCCAGTCAATCTTTTCTGTCTTACTCAAACTCAGCCTTGCAGTTCTTTTTCATGCCACGCTCTTGGGCAGGATTTCCACTGATGGGCTACGAGGATTGTACGAGAAGAAATCCCAGTGCTGAAAGGCCAGGCTGTCCCTCTGCTCTGAGGTGCTGCTGCTGCCTTGGCAGACACAGGCCAGGGCGAGAAACCAGGTTCCAATGATACAGAAACATTGTCAAAGATTGCTTCAAAGGCTGCTGACAGGAGGTCACGCAATCAGGGGACAGCAGGAGCTGCTCGTGGGTGGGAAATAGCACAGGCAGTTTTCTGGTTGCTATGGCTTTGCTCCTCCGAGTAGTGTTTGAGAGGACGGAGCCACGTCCTGCATCGTCCCACCTCCATCCATCCTTGAGAGGACGGAGCCACATCCTGCATTGTCCCACCTCCATCCATCCTTGAGAGGACGGAGCCACGTCCTGCATCGTCCCACCTCCATCCATCCCTGAGAGGACGGAGCCACATCCTGCATTGTCCCACCTCCATCCATCCTTGAGAGGACAGAGCCACGTCCTGCATCGTCCCACCTCCATCCATCCTTGAGAGGATGGAGCCACGTCCTGCATCGTCCCACCTCCATCCATCCTTGAGAGGACGGAGCCACGTCCTGCATCGTCCCACCTCCATCCATCCCTGAGAGGACAGAGCCACATCCTGCATCGTCCCACCTCCATCCATCCCTGAGAGGACGGAGCCACATCCTGCATCGTCCCACCTCCATCCATCCGGCACTTACCTGTAAACCCAGGGTGTGCGAAGTGATTCTCGGAGCACGATTTCATGCAGTGCTTTAGCACAGACAGCAGGATGACCCTGAGAGGGGCCCCGCAGGGGTTCAGATCCCTTGGATGCACCATGAGTCCGGTGCTGGTGAGGACTGAGCCTCCTCTGCAGGATTTGGGAGCTCATGGAGCCTCACGGTTTGCAGTGTTACGGCCTCCTCCCTCCACTCTCCTTTCTCCCTGGTGCCCTGTTGCTGTGCTTGCTCACTCCAGTGTCCCAGAAGGCTCTGGCATTACCAGGACAGCTGAGGTGCATCTTCTCCCAGCAGCTCTCTTGCTTCCTTCTGCTTCACATCCAGCTCCAGGCTAATCCCAGGGTGCAGAACTGGTACCGAGGCTGCAGCAGAGGCAGGGAGTGGGGCGAGCAGCTGCAGAAGGGCACACAAGGATTGTGTTTTCAGTCTGTAAAGTCACTAATGAGAATGGCAGCCACCTCTTCACATAGCCCAGAGACCAGAACCAAACCTGGCAGAGCTGGAAGCCGCTGGGTGCTATCTAGGACCTGGGGTTAGTTGGTTGAGTGCTGAGTGAAGGGGTCCTGAAGAAAGTCTGTGTGTTCATAGAGGTGCGACGAAGGCAGAAGCACGCAGGCAGTATTTAGAAGGAAGTGGGATGATGCATTTGCATCACATGAGGATGATAAGATACTTCCCAGTCCATTAAAGAGGGTGTTAAACACCTCCAGGAATAAATACCTCTAAATCAACTTGACAAGAGAACTCTCGTTCAAGAGGCCTTTCCTTGGCTTGGGCAGATCTTTGTTTCCTGCTGGTATTTTTCAGGACGTTTTGGAGCCCTGGAGAAGTTCGCTAAATGCACCCTTACACAGAGCAGAAAAGGGAACCACGCAGCCAGGGAGGCACCGCGACCGGAGCCGTTTGAAACACGGGTTCAGTCCCTGCCTGATGCTCCTCTTGGAGCTGCGGCAGCAAAGCCCTCTAGTGGGGATGCGCTGCTGGTGGCAGGAGCCGGTGAAAGCGGGCTCCGAAGGCAGCCCTGGGGCAGGCAGAGCCAGAGGCAGGGCCGGCGGGGCTGGTGGCAGAGATGGCTCAGCAAAGCTTCCCTCCTCGGCCGTGCTCACGCCGTGCGGGCGGGCAGGTGCTGGCGCGTTCAGCCGGCCTTCAAATGCAAGCGAATGCTTTGCTTTCAGCGAAGGGCGACTCAGGGGTGTGAGTGGCATTGACTCTGCTGTCCCCACCTAGGGAAACCCTGAGAGCTTCTATTTCCCACCGTGTAGGTCTCGCTGGGGTGTAAGCCAGTGTAGCTGTGGGACGGGCGAGCTCTGGGCTTGTTTGATGCCAGCAAACACCTGGAGGCCCCAGCTTGGGTGAGCTGGGATGAGTCCTGCCGCGGAGCTTTCATCTTGGGATGAGGGGTGGTGCAAGGCCCTGACTCCTGGCACTTTTGGGGAAAATCCTGTTATTTTCTGTAAGAAGGGAGGTGCCATTGCCTGACTCCAGTGGTGTGAGGCAAGTGCATCCTCCTGAGCTGCTCGGGTGTATTTAGTTGCTGTGTGTGACTGGTCAGGTCCGTTTTCTGCACTGGTGGAGAGAAGCTGGTGCCTTTCCCACTGTCCATTCACTTCCCTGTGATGCTGTGCAGTCACCAAGGTCCTGGAGAAGTTTTCTGG